CCTCTCGGAGCCTCTGTCATCCCCTGCAAAGAGGAGGTGATATCCCACATTTGCCTGTCCCTGAGAGGGGCCAGCTAGGGCTGTAAATGCTCAAGTTTGGGGTCCTGCTGCTCTGTCTCCTCGCACCAAGCGGTATCTACCAAAAAAATTACAGACTGGAAACATCAATGGACCGTTTTACAAGTCTAAAGACCAGAAGTCGAAACCCACCTCCCTGCACTGCAATGGGCTCATCCCGGGCTCCAGGGGACAATGAGAGCCCCGGTTCCCTGCTCCTCCACTCCACAGCCCTGCACGCGACTCCCCCCAGCCTATCCTCAGGGAGGCGCCTCCTCAGGACACTTGTGATGGCAGTGGTCCCCCGGGGGGACCATCTTCCATCAAAGACCCCGAGTTCAAACACAGACTCCCAGATTCCAGGGGCCAGGGTGTGTACGTCCTGCCGCGCAAGTATTTGGAAGTCCACAAAGGCGGAGGGGCTGGGGCCAGCGGCCCTGCCTCTTCCCTGTCCCCGTCCCAGGAGTCGCGCTGAGAGCTGGGGGAGACTTAGAGACGGGGCTCAGGGACAAAAACAGGCACGCAGATGAAGGGAGCCCAGGGGAGGATCCAGGACCAACCACACCGCAGTCACGTTACCTTCAACAAAGAAACCAAAACCATCCGCCGCGAAAAGGCATCCGAACACCGATTATCCATCCGCCCGCAGAGAACCGAGTCTACACCCACGTCGCTCACCCTGCACCAAAATCAAAGGGAAATGGATCGAAGACCCAAATATTAAAACAGAAACACGCAAACTAGAGGAAGATCAAATAAGTAAAACCCTTGACACAGACATAGGCAAGGACTTTCTGAACAGAACCCCAATGGCACAAGAAATAGTACCAGAATTCAACACATCAAAGTAAAAAAGCTTCTGCACAGCCAAGGAAACAACCAACAGAATGAAGAGAAAACCTATAGAGTGGGGAGAAAATTCCCAGCTACTCCACAGACAGAGGACTAATATCTAGAATAAAGAATTCAGAAAAAATAGATATCCCCAAATAAAAGGTCAAATCAAAAAATAGGCAATTGAAACGAACAGACACTTCTCAGAAGAAGTAAAAATGGCCAAGAGGTACATGAAAAAAGTGCTCAGCACCTTTGGCCAAGAGAGAATTGCAAATCAAAACAACACTGAGATTCCATCTCACTTCAGAAAGAACGGCATTATCAAGAAATCAAGTAACAAACGCTGGCAAGGCTGTGGGGAGAAAAAGGAACCCTTCTACACTGTTAGTGGGAATGTAAACTAATACAACCACTATGGAAATCAGAATGGAGATTCCTCAAAAACGAAAACTAGAAAATCCACTCGATCCAGTTATTCCTCTTCTCAGTATCTTTCTGAAAGACTTAAAGACATCATATTACAGTGATACACACATATCCAAGATGATAGCACCACAATTCGTAATAGCTAAATCTTGGGAGCAGCCTATAGGTCCATCAAAGTGTGGCATTTGCACAAAATGGAGTACTACTCTGCCATAAAGAAGGATGCACCTTGATACCATAATGCAAAAAAATCAGACACGGCAGGATAAATATTGCATGATTTCTGTTATATGAGAAGCCCAAACTATAAATAATTTAAAGAGCAAAATAGACAGATGATAGGAAACAGACTTCATGGGGATGGGAAGGGGATCTGGGGATGGGACACGATGACAGGGAGGGAAGAGAAGGGGGAGTAGGAGGATGGAGATGCCTTGGGCCATGTCCCAATTCCCCACGAGGAATGTACTCACCGTGTGCCAAGCATACACTAATAAAAGAACTGAGAAAGGGAAGTCATTGGAGGTGTGCCCTTGAGGGAACTGTGGGGCCCCAATCCCTTTGTTACTTCCTGCTGGCCCACACTGCCACCGTGATGCACCCCCTCACCACAGAGCCCAGCAAGTCCCTCAATCATGACCTGGGATTTCTAAACCATGAACCAAATCGTGCTTTTTCTCCATATCTCACATGTTTGTCATAGTGACAGAAAGCTAGCACAGGCACCCCAAGCAGACCTAAGACTCCTGCATGCTGGGCGGCTTGGTGCCACACTCCTATAACCTTGGCACTCAGGAGGCTGAGCCAGGAGGATCACTGTGAGTTTGAGGCCAGCTTGGGCTACATAGCAAGATCCTATCTCCAAAAAAAAAAGTCATGGACAAAAGTTAAACAGTTTAAAAAGTCAGACTGAGTGTCAGTGTGCAGCTTGACCCCAGGGTTACGACTGACTCGTGCAGGATCTGAACCACTGCTGAAGTTCTCCTCAGATCTGGGGCATTTGGACCCGTCTTTCTGCCCGTGGTTCCGCCAGCTTCGGGTGAACCCAGCACAGGAAGGCGGCCCAGAGTCGAGGCTCAGCATGACCTCCGAAGCAGCAGCATCCGACCTGCTGCCCCTCATCAAAGCCGGTCACTACTCGCTCAGGACTGCAGACGGGGGAAGCCGGGACCTGGGAATGGTTCCCATACTTCATCCCCAAGTTCCCTCCCAGCGAAACGGATCCCTGTGAGAACTGGTAATGAGATAGTGGAGCTCAGTATCACAACCCCTGCACAGTAAAACTTTACACCACAGGTCAGAAAACCCTCCACTGTAATATTAAACAGTAGCATTTAAAACATAAAAATTAGATGGCTGGGGATTTAGCTCAGTGGCACCGCAACTGCCTCGCAAGCACAAGGTCTGAGTTCGATCCCTGGTTCCCTAAATAAATAAAATCAGTAGATGGGTGTGGCACCACACACCTGTCACTACAGCACTCTGGGAGGCTGAGGTAGGGTGACTGCAAGTTTGAGCCCAGTCTGGGTAACTCAGCAATTTAGTGAGTCCCCGTCTCAAAACTTTAAAAGGGGCTGGGGAAGTAGCTAAGGGAGGAGACCCTGGGCTCCACAGTCCCCAGCTTGGGAAAAATAAATAAACCACTCTGGCTGAACGTGCCCAGACCCCTACAGCGGCTGAGATACTGCACTACAGTGACTGTCGCAGGGGCTGAGCCACCCGAGGCGAGCAAGCCCAGTGCACGGTTCACAGGTGGACCTCCCTCCCGCTCCTCCTCTAAGCCTGCAAAGGGTGAAGGACGCAGTGCAGTCCAGGTCCGGATGGGCCCACATGGCCATGGCCATGGCCTGGGAGCTCCCTGTGGTCGAGTCCTCCTGACAAACCGGAGGCCGCTGGGCCTTGCTGCTCCTCCAGTCGAGCAGGAAGTGGGCCAAGCTGTCCAGGTCAGCTGTGCACTCAGGAGCTGCACCCCAAACTGAGGAGCTGCACTTAGCTGCTGCCCTGTGCCCCAGGCTGGTGGGCTGGACCCGTGTGCCATTGTTAGATGTGAGCCCCGAGACAACAGGGAGAAGCCTTCAGGTCATTATGCACATTCGGGGAGCGAAGAATAGATGGATAGGTAGGTAGACAGAGAGACAGACAGACGGACAGACCTGCTGGCCACAGAGGAGTCCTCAATGAAGACAAGGAAAAGGAATTACTCCTGGTGCAAGGAGCAAAGTGGGGTGACTGCTGGGTCAGGGAGGCCAGGGGCGGCTTTCTGGGTAGGAGGCGACTTCACTGTGCCACCGTCCAGAGTCCAAGAGCTGCCTCAGCAGGAAGTGACATCAGAAGGGCCATCCTGGAGGCCCCACTGGCTGCAGATGGGCCTTGAGCGAGGGGACGTTCACCAGGATGGATGACTCAGACTCAGGGCAGCTCTGTGCTCGCTCAACCGCACTTGGCTCACAGAGCAGGAGTAGGACAGCCTCTGCTCCGGCTCACAAACCGCTAAGTGGCTTTAGGACAGGTGGCTGCCCAGGACAGAGGGCAGGAATAAAGAGACAATTCTGCAGATGTTTGACCTAGAGCCTGGTATCCACTCAGAGGCAGTAAGGTGGTGTGACTGGTACTCTTTCCAAAGGACAAGGTCACCACCGCAGGCCTGACCATGAGCACATGCCCTCCTTCCCAGTCCCCCTCCTCGCCTGCAGAACACAAGGTTCACACAGGGCTCGGCTCTCCTCTAAGAGTCCAAGCCTAGCTCACCACCACCCAAAGGAAAGCTACCGTCAATGCCAAGAAAAGCCTCCTCCTGGAAATAATCTGCTTTTCCTCTCCCTGCAGCTGGGGGGTTGGGGATAGGAGGCGGGCGTGGCAGGGCTCTGCTGTGGCCCAGCAGTCCCCAGTGCTGGGGGAGCTCTACAGCTGAGCAGGGTGGCAGCAGGAGCAGTGACCTAGGAGGACGAGAAAATCCTGCCTGCAGGGAGGTGCGTCCCACCACCATCAACCCGCCTCCCAGAAGGAGTCTGTTTCCGGAGCTGCCCTCTCAAGGGGAGTTCAAGCTCACTGAACAGTGGACAGGGAACAAGCCAAGAACAGCTGGGGAAGCAGCCATTCTCCTGCCCTTCCTGCCCTTCCCACTGGAAGGAAAAAGCACCTTCTTCTCACCTCTGCCACCACAACTTCTCAATCCTTTGGCCTGTGATGAGGGGAGGCTTCCTGCAGAGCCTCCAGGACAGGACGTGTGTGTGTGCGTGTGTGCATGTGCATGTCCCGCTGTCACTGCGAAGTTCTCCGCTCCTTTACCCCAGTCTCGGGATGGAGAAGCGGAGAAAGTCTCATTGCGACACCATACACCAGAAGAGCCTTGGCCGCGATTCCAAGTAGTGCATGTTTTATAAAGGCCCCTTTTCAAATACATAAAGCACTCGTTAGATGCCATGGCTTGGTGGACAGCTGATGGCTTTCCCTATCTAACTGCAGGGCCGCTTGTGGCATGGAGCTCCCAGACAGGCAGCAGCCCACCTCCCCGGCCCTCCGGCCTCTGCCTCCCTAGAGAAGCTGGGGAGCTGCCCGGGGGCCACTCCTGAGCACTCTTAGCAGCAGGCATGAGAATCAATGCCAACTGTCCACCACAAAAGGCCCAGGCACTAAGAATCGACAGATGTGTGGCCTTCCAGATGAAGCACTCACACGTGTGGTATCTGAATCGGCAGTTTATTTTAAAAAAACAACTATCATATTTTCTTCTCTGTCCATCATTTCCCCTTAATAGAAGTTACAAAAAAGTAGAGGGGATAAAATCTTTGCAGCTAGAAACAAACGACTCCCGAGTCAGGCAAAGAATAAAAGACAATATAGGAGCAAATTCTGTGACAGCAATATCATAATACGACATGAATTGTTACAGTGCAGTGGTTGTCATGAAGTTCACAATAGGATACTCTCAGCCCAAACCCAGACAAACAAATCACCCGCAGGCTTCCCAGCAGCAGGAGAACCAGCGCGAGCAGCCCCGCAGGGACAGCGGGGTAAGGCTTTTCCGGCAGCGCAGCGTCTCTGCAACAAGGCCCCAGCAGCGGTCACTTTGAGTCTTCGTCTTTCTTTTCATCTAAGAGCGCGGAGCGAATCCCCAGCTTTTTCAGTTCCTCCACCAGGTCCCCATTCTGGTGCATCTGCAGAAGGATGTCACAGCCCCCCACGAACTCGCCGTTGAGGTACACCTGCGGGATGGTGGGCCAGTTGGAGTAGTCTTTGATGCCTGGGGGCGGGACAGAGAAGCGTTACTGTCGGGCGCGGGAAGCAACAGGACGCTCACCGCTGCCAGCAGCAAACCTACTCCCACGGGCCACGGCTTTAGCGTCCCACGGACCGGTGTTTAACTCTGGCGATTACAAACCCCAGCACCTCAGAAGGCCACCCGGTGGCCCCACTGCTGCTTCCCCCACTACCTTGGCTTCCTGAGAATTGGGGGTAGTAAAGCTCAGAGCGACCCCAGCCAGCGCCGACAGGGGGCGCGCGGGGCAGCGGTTACCCGAAATCGCACGCCAGTGTCAGGGTCGGTCACGTTTTCAGGGAAGCACAGCTAGAGCCAAAGGCATGGCGGTTTCACCGTTCGTGTCCGCCTGTCCCGGCTGGAGCGGCTCCTGGTCCTCGCGCTCAAGATGCTGAGCTGCTGACTTTTACCTAACAGTGACTTTACCCAGCCCTGTGCTACTGCTGATTACACGTGTGGGATGCTTTTGTATTTCTAGATATTTTAAAATAGCTAAAAGGAACATACAGATAAAAAGTAAGTAGGTCCGGGGATTCAGCTCAGTGGTTCGGGCACCTGCCTTGCAAGTGCAAGGTCCCGAGTTCAATCCCTGGTACCAAAAAATAAAAAATAAAAGCAAATAAGACTCTTCAACCAAAATATACTCTTATGCAAATAAAACAAATCAGCCAAGTGGTGATTTTTTTTTTTTCATACCGGGGATTGAACTCTGGACCTTATGCTTGTGAGGCAGGCGCAGCACCACTGAGCTAAATCCTCGGCCCCCAAATGGTAATTTTTATGTAGATAACTAAAACTTGTTCTTGATATCCTATCACTCCTTATCATTTATTTCCCAAATAAAATGTCCAGTGAGTTGTATCACAAGTAACAGTCCCAATTTACAATGTGTTTTTCTCTCAAATGTTATTGCCATCTAAAAACAGTGACTGTGCTCTAAATGACAGGGCTAGGGAAAGCTCCTGAGTCACTGCTTTTATCTTGCTTCTCCAGACATCATACTTTAAGAAATGGCCGTGGCTGGGCATGGCGGCGCACACCTGTAATCCCAGCATGGAGAGGCTGAGGCAGGAGGATCACAAGTTATATAGTGAGACCCTGTTACCTTCCCCCCAGCAAAAAAGGAAGAAAGTCACAGCAAAGGCTGGGGATGGAGCCCAGCACTAGGGAGGTGTCCTCGGAGATGCCACCAACCTGCAGAAGCACATCCTCAGCCACTCTGTATCTGTAAAAAAAAAAATCAGCTAGAGGTCTGGGGCTATGACTGAAGGGTAAATTCTAACTATGGGAGCATCTTTTATTACCACCTCCGCTGAATTCAAGCTTTTCATCGTTCTGATGTTTGGTGCTCTGGAAACAAAAACTCTAGCACATGAGTTATGTGGGTCTTCTTTTCTCTCTCTCTTTTTTTTTTCAGTACTACTGGGGATTGAACCCCAGGCCTTTGCACTAAGTTTTATCTCCAGCCCATTTTAAATTTTGAGACAGGGTCTCACCAAATTGTTACGGTGCCCAGGCTGGGCTTGAAGCTGCCTCACAAAGTGCTGGGATTACAGGTGTGTGCCACTGTTCACTTTTAACTCTACCTCCAATACAGCCGACAGGATCTTACTTTACAACATCGCCTATTACTAGTCTTTTACCTTTATGACAACTGAAGGCAGGACGTGGGAATTAAGAAATGTTTAAAGAGTTGCTCCTTTTAATTCTACTGAACTTAAACTTTCTAAAATATCTTTTATATCGATGAACGCTTTATGTGCGAGCACGATGTATCTTTAATTAGTAGTATAAACCATCACAATAAATTTTTGCCGATTATTTTTAGTTTGTGCTACAATTTTGAAATGCAACAAAAATGAACAGAAATTTGCTCCTTGAAGGCCACCCAGACCTAAGGTATAACTGTTTCAGTAAAATCTCTGCTGAGTAGAAGGATGACCTGCTTTCCACTGATCATCTTACAGCTCATCTAATAGCACTATATTCAATCAAAGCATTAGGCTTGTCTGACCGCTGACCTTTGTTGCAGTGGACCACCCACCTGACCGTTAGGTAGAGAAGCACCAAAACCACAACACCGGGCCTTTCACACCAGGCTGGATCCACAGCATCCCCAACACCCACCGGTCCCACCGAAGGAAACTGGCCCCTCCAAAACAATGTCCTGGGCTGTCCTGCCTTGTAACCTCCTTTTCAAGAACTCAGAAAAACTCCTGGGGAGCTGATGTCAAGGCAAAGCTTTGGAATCCTTTCTAAAAACTATGCTATTTTCCATTTTTAAGAAATCTGGCACTGGGCATGGTGATGCAAGCCCGTAATCCCAGCACTCTGGAGGCTGAGGCAAGAGGATCGCAGAGAGTTCAAGGCCAGCCTGGGCTACACAGTGAGTTCAAGGTCAGCCTGAACTATATAATGAGACCCTGTCTCAAAAAAAAAAAGAAATCTGATCACGAGTTTAAACATTTAAGAAAATATCTGAACAAAATATCTGCATATCCCTGTAGAGTGAAGTGAGAAACTTCAATTAAAGACCAGGTTCTTAAGATGAAAAGTAAAATGAATCCTATGAATTCACAACTGTTTTTAAACATGTTTTTTTCTCTTACACTTTAGTTTTCAAAAACTCCAATGCATAGTGATAATTCCTAGAAATATCACTTGAAATAAATCAAAATCAGACAGCAACTCTCGGAATCAGAGAATCAGACCTATGAACAAATTTTAATGAAAATCGTATTTCATACGCAGTACAGAAGCGATTCCATTTGGAACAGAAAGTGCTGATCACAGTTATGCAGCAGAGTAACACTAGGACTGAGAGTTAGGAGGCTTTCTTACAAAATCAGTTCACACACATCTACTGCTCCATCAAAATAATAATAATGATGATGTTCTGGTACCAAGCCAGGAAGAGCAGAGAAAACGTACTTGGACATTCGCTTCCAGAACTTTCAGAAGGCACTTTCCAACACTCATCACGACGCGGAATATTGGACTTCACGCCTCACTGGACGCTGTAATTACTGCAAAGCACCGTGAACACAGCCACGTCCTAAGCACATCGCCTCCCGGACTCATTTTCCCTGAGTCAGAGAATGGCGAAGAACTACAAGAGAGGGAGACAGCAAGGCGACTGCACGGACAGGGCTCGGGCTGAAGGGTCACAGCCCCAGCTTGCTGCCTGGTAAGTGCAGCTCCAAGACCTCTCGTAGCCTCGGCCTCAGTTTCCTCCTCTGCAAAATGGACATAACACTCAGTACCCCAGATTTACCATGAAGGATAAATGAGACAGAACTGATGGAATGACTTGTGCTCCTAACACAGTGCAGGTCCAACGTGGACACTCGCTCCACGTCATTGTCCTCTACTCCACTCCACAGCAAGGCTTTAGGGAAATGTATGAAAGGAAGCACAGGGAGAGAACGCAGAACATTGCAAGCTGAGTATGCCACACTAACACAGGTACCATTTACTGAGCTAAGGATCACTGACTGGGTTTTATATCTGTGAAATATTTTCTACAAATACATATCCAGTCTTCACAACTGCCCCACAAAGTATGTACAATTATCCCTGTTTTACGGATGAAAAAGCTAAGGCCCAGAGACGTTAAGCACCCTACACAAAGTCACGGTGGTGACTCCATCAGGTTGAGTCAGGCTTTGCATCTAGGGTCCCAGGAGTCCAAACGCCTGGCTCCTAACCACATGCTAGCTGGGTCCCTCACCAGAGGCAGTCACCAGACTGCAGGCCATCTGTCCTCCTGCACTGTACAAGTAGCTGCAAACTGCGGGACTGTCTTCTAGGTGGAACATTTATGCACACAAATGGTGTTTACACATTATGCCATATCTCGAGGCTTTCGCTAAATAGGCTGGCATCAAATTTGTGATCCTCCTGCCTCAGCCTCCCAAGTGCTAGGATTACAGGCAGCCACTACCACACATAGCTTGCAACTTGCTTTTTTGACTAAATACTGTATTTTTGAGATTTCGGCATTCTAGTTTATTTTAATCTGAATTTTTAGTTTTCTAAACTATACTTTGCTTATCTAGTGCGCTACTAATAGACCAAGATCCCATTTGTCAGCTTTCCATTCTTACAAGCATGCTATAATGATCATGCTACATATGGATCCTCACATACATGGGCAGGAGTCCATCCCTGAGACCTGGCAGCGGCAAACCATGCCCTTGAGGCCAAATCAGTCCACTTCCTCTCTGGCTTTTGCACATGAAGTTTTATTGGAACTCAGCCATGTTTACACACCCCTCAAAGGTTGAAGTGCTTACTCACCCTGGGGAGAGGTCCTTGGGAGAGGAAGTCATCCAATCCCCAGTCCACAGTCCTACCTGGGAGTGGACTGGCTAGGTCTAGGCTCTGTTCATCCGCACCTTGCTGGGCACTGTTACTGCCCCTAAGTGCTGGTGCTGTGTTCTACTTCCACCCACAGCATGTGGCTTGTCCCCCACACATGCACACACCTACAACTTATTATCCAACTTCCAATGTTCACCTCTGTAATCAGTGCTCTCCTCTTGCCTTAAATTCCCAGACAATAGAAAGGCTGAGCATATTTTCAAATCCTTAATAAACACTACATGGTAGGGTATATGGAGAGAACCTGGTAACTGTGAAGAGCACAGATGGACACAAGGAACAACTTCAAAAATGCTCTGGCCGGTGGCTCCCCATGTGGACCACAACTAACAGCTAGGGAAGCAGATCTGGATGCTCCTGGCCCAAAGAAATGGTAAAGCCTGAGGTGACAGCTATGCCAACTACTCTGATCTGAGCACGCTACACACGCACTGAAATGTCACAGTACCCTACACGTATGGACAACTATGTAACCAGAAATTTGGAAAATAATAAAACAAATGAAAAAAGAATAGGATATGGTTATTTACTCAACCCATATTTAAATCCCTATTCTGTCAGATACAATTCCCCATCTGGGAATATAAAGGTGAACTAAACAAGCAGAAATCTTAAAATGTATGTTTATGAGCACAGAGAGTTTACAATACAATGATTAAAAAAAGAAGCCTTTATTCATTAAAACATTCCCTGAAATCCTAGCACTTGGGAGGCTGAGGCAGGAGAATCGAGAGTTCACGGCCAGCCTAGGCTACATATGGAGACCTCTGTCTCAAAACAAAACAAGAAAGGGCTGGGGATTTAGTTCAGAGGTGCTGCCGCCTGCCTCGAAAGCACAAGGTCCTGAGTTCGATCCCCGGTACAAAAAAAAAAACAAGAAAGCATTCATGGAAGGCCTGCTTTGCACTACCCACACACACATGTCAAAGGCAGTTGCACGAGACCTGCTCTCCCTCGGAGGGCAAACACCAGGCACGGACAAGCAGGATCTCTGTGACAGGAGAGGCCCTGAGACTCTGACCCACGGAACAAAGGTGGCCTGGAGGTGCTCTGGGCTCCAGCCTCCCCCAGGGTGTGGTTTCTGCCCTGAGTGTGCTCCAAAGACAAGGAAGAGAAGGTCACTCTGAGTGCCACCTCTAGACCCTGCACAGGAACCTGTGCTGCCAGGCCTCGGGCCCAAACTCAGGGGTGGGGGGCAAAGGAATGAATCTCCAAGCTGTAAATCCTGATGAGGGAAGGCAAGGCCTACTGTGGAGGTGCTCACATAACTGTGCCCATCCCAATGCTAGCACTAACACTAACCTTCACTGTTCCAAGCAACAAAGAGATGTACGAGCCAGATGTGGTGCTGCACACCTGTAAGCCTGGCACCCTGGCAGGCTGAGGCAGAAGGGTTGGAGTCTGAGCCCAGCCTAGGCAATTCAGCAATTTGATGAGATCGCCATCTCAAAATATTTTTAAAGGCTGGGGATGTAGCTCAGTGCAAAGGCCCTGCAGTCAATCCCCAGTACTGTAATGCAAAAAACCCAAAAAAACCCAAAGGTGTACATGCCACTCGATATTTAAGCAACATATATATTAACCAAAATAATCCTGTCTGGTGAAATCCAACAGTCAAGAAATATAAGGGTTAAATTCCCCTTGCTACTGTTTAAGCACTCAGATCAGAAGCCATGCGTCAGAGAAAACAGAAACATTAACATTAGCGCTACTGGTAATCATCTCGCCTCTGCTCCCACTGTCAGTTTATTAGCCTTATTCCAGGGTGTCTCCTCTCCAGTTTATGCCTAACAAGAGAAAGGAAATTCACAAGCTGAAGGTCCTCAAAACTTTATACTAAGCAAGGTATCAATAACATAACTTTTTGCTAGGGGTCATACTGGGAATTTGCCCCGGACCCACGGCCAGCTTCAGCTGAAAGACTGCAGAGCAGATACCCTTATCTTTGAAGCCACGAAGCTGCCGTGAGTGGCCACAGATGCCTCTGTGCGCGATAAACCCAAGCTTCGCAACCTTCGGGTTCCAGTTGATCAGCAAGACACCAGGGTCATGAGTGTAACACATGATAATGTCACAAAACCTCCACTCCCTCACTGAACATGCCTCCTGGGTTCCACCCACCAAAACTACCATGGGTAGCAAAGGTAGGATCAGCTGCCATGGAGAATTTTGTAAGGATTAGAAAATGGAGGAGAAAACACACTTTGAAAACCATACAGTGCTAATGAAATATGTGCCAGAGGAGGTGACACGCACTTTCTGTAATTTTTACTTTTCTTCCTTCCCTTCCAAAACTGCCAAGTTGGGTCTTAGGAGCCTCGTTTTACTGAAAAGGAAAACGCAGTAGGGTGACCTAACGCTTTATCCCTGACTGGCCAAGGACGAGGATTCCATCCCAAATCTGCTTTCCACAACACCAGCCCATCTCCCCTGTGCGATGCAAGACAACGTTAGTGTTAGTAATTTCAAAACAGAGTAACAGTCTGTCCTACCACAGAACCGGAGTCTCTTCATATTACTGTAACAAGACAAGAGCAAGACAGGCAGATACAGGGACCCTACCTTCCTCGCATTTCTCCACCTACCCGACCCGAACCTCCAGGAGGAGGAACAAGCGCCTGTGCCTGGCCATCTCTCCCCAAAACGGGAGAATGCTGGGCAGGTAGTGTTTAAAAGATGCCAAGGAACTGTCTGGGCTCTCCCTCCCTCCCTCCCTCCCCTCGGCTGCTTCTGGCTCCTGCTCTCTCGGGGTCCAAGCTTGCGGTAGTGCGTTCGCCCGGGGCCCAGAAGCCCCCTCAAGCCCCAGACCCCCTACCTTGTTCCAGGTGCTTGAATATCTAAATCCAAGGGGCCTGCCTCCCCCCACAGCACGACCACAGGATGTAGCCACGACCAGCTGGACTAGGGGCCACCGCTCTCACAAAACAGGCCAAGGCTTCCAAGCCCTCAAAGTGCCTACCTCTGTGAGTCCCCCCGTGGGCCCACTTCCCAGCCCTACAGGTCGGGAGCCACGCTGCTGACCACCCTCCTCGGAGCCCGCCGGAGACAACCGCCTCCAAGAGAAGATCAGGGAGCCCGCAGGAGGGACCCCACTGCCCAGGCGGGGCCTCAAGATCCGCTCAACTCCATGACGCCCTCGCTCCAATCTCCACCCGGACAACCGGAGCGCGGCGCGGCGCGTCGCACCTCAGCCCCGCGGCCTCCGCCGGCCCCGCGCGCGGCCTGACCTTGCCGGAGCTCAGGGTCGTCCAGCACGTTGTAGGCCGCGTAGTCGCGGACGCCGTGCAGCCGCAGGATCTGCACGACGGCGTTGCTGAAGCCGCACTGGGGCTGCTCCGGAGTCCCCTTGAGGAAGACCACCACCTTGTCCTTCTTCACCAGCGCGTCCAGCTGCTCCGCCTGGCCGCCGCCGCCCGCGCCCGTGCCCGCGCCCGCCGCCCGCACGCCCGCACCCCGCAGGCCGACGCCTCCCGCGCCGGGCCCCCAGCGGAGCAGAGCCGCCGCCGCGCGGCGCAGAGTCCCACTCATCACCGCTCGCCCGACGGAGCGCTGGACGGCCCGGATCCTCTGCAGCCACCCGAAGCCTCCTCCAGGCCGGTGGCCGCCCGGCCCGCCTCCCGGAGGCTCTCATTGGGCTGGCTCCGGACTGCTCTCCGTGATTGGACAACACTGGCCTACAAGTACTCGATGCTACCAATCAGGTTGGTTATTCTGGCTAGTGGGCGGTAACCCTCAAAAGTTTGAGCCATATCCTACGTCCATTCTATTGGCTGCCGGCACCCGCTTTGTCAGTTGATTGGAGAAGTGAATGTCCGTCAGAGTCCGCGCTGAGGGCATAGAGAGCGAAAAGTCCGGCCAGACCGCTTTCCTCCCGAGAGCGGACGCGGCCGGCTAGGATTCTCCGGGACAACGAGCGAAGGCGCTGGGCGGGGCCTTGCCGTTCCGCGGGACGCCGGGAAGGGGGTCACTCTCCGAGAGAGGTTCCGGTTCCGGGGCCGGCGGCCGATTTCCCCGCGGGAGTGGGCCTGGGGCGGGCGGTTCGTCCCCTCTCCCAGGTGAGCGTCTCGGGGTTTCGGGGGCCGCGGCCGACTCGGTCAGGCCTCTGCCTCGGCCCCGCCACGTTCGTAGGCGCTGAGGACCCGGCCGCCCCGGGACTCCCGACTCCGGCGCGCGGCTCTGTCTCTGGGACGGTTTTTACCCATCTCCTGTGTGCCGCGCGCGCCCTGACCTGTGTGGTCGCTGGGTTTCAGGCCCTGCGGCCATCCACCCCGCCTTTGCCCACGCGCTTGGCCTCAGGAAAGGTTTTTTGCACAGAGAACCACAGTGAATGGATGGCGGGCCCTTGGCGCGCGCCTGCAGTCTCAGCACTCGGAGGCTGAAGCAGGAGGATCGCTTGAACCGGGAAGTTCTAGACCAATCTGGACCATGGAGGGGGAACTTGTCTCGGAAAAAGAAGTAAATGGGTAGTACCGAATTAGTGCTAGCACGGAATCTCCAGGGAGACCGGGCTTGTTAGCGTGAGAAATGAGTAGCAGAAAAGCCGGGGCGCTTAGGAGAGAAGAAGCCTCCTGTTGCGTCCTCACCATTGTACATATCATCGCTTAAGATATAGTCATCAGCTAGAGCAGTGCTTAGAAGCTGACAGGTGACTCCTGGGTGAAAAGGACGAATCCGAAGAGTAGGACTCGGTGGAGTCTGATCTGTGGTCTTGGAGGCGCGCGGGGTTGCTGGTACCCTAGAGCAACCAGACTTGCAGAGAAAGCATACTCCAGAGGAAGCTGAGGCATGCCTGCTCAAGAACCAGCGGTTCCATGTGCAATGTTCCTCTGATAGTTTCTGGGTACTGTTGCCACGGTGATAATGGCTGTGCCGTGTCATTATCGATCCACCAACAGTAAGAGAAGCTTTGCAGTCAAGATATTGTTTAGCAGACACAGTGGATTCTGTTGGACACTGAGTACTGCTACAAATTAGCTTTTTAAAAAAAATCTTGAGTTGTTTAAGAAATACTTCTAAGAGAAGCTGAGCTCGGTGGTGCATGCCTGGAGTCCCAGCACTTGAGGCCAGCTTGGGCAATTTAGCAAGACCGGCCTCAAAATAAATAAAAAGGCCTGGGTATGTTGCTCAGTGCAAAGGCCTTTGGTTCAGTCCCAGTACTGCAGAGTGAACATACTCAGGCCATCGCCCGCCCAGGAGCTCTTTGGTGTCATCTTCTCACCCTTCCCGTGTTATTGATACTTGCTAATTTCCCAATATGGGACCTAAGTTGGACTCTTTTCGTTTTGCAGATCCATTGATTCCAGGTAAACCAGAGAAACAAGCATCCTGAGAAATGGTACACACGTGGAAAATGCTACTGTGCTGAAGCAACTTGTTTCAGAAGCCAGTGAAGTAGGGAATATACTAAATTCCTTCCAAAAGCATCCATCCATTTATTCATGCTTATACTGGAGTAAGTTCCTTTTTAAAAAAACAGTAAATATGACAGTTTGTTCCTAAAAACCTGCATTGTTTATTGGTTACTGTGAATTGTCTAATTATGCTTGTGTATGGCCTAGGAGAGAGAATTCACAAACTTCTGCGGATCTGAGACAGAGTTGTAGTAGGGAGTATCATATCCCTGACCTGGTATATATATATTACTGGCTTCGTAAGTACAGTTGTTTTTTCTAGTTGTCAGATGTTTTGTTAAGTTGCGAATACAGGTATCGTGAAAAATTGAAAGTAATCCTGGAGCAGGAAGAGTACAAAGCTGTTTTTTCAAAATTACAGTGGAGCCACTGGGTTGTGTAGAGTAGGGGATAAGAACATATGCGAAAGCTAAGGGATGGGAGGGCATGCCAGAGCTCTTTTGGGGAACTAAAGGGGGTGGCTTTGATAGCAAAGGCAGGAAAGCAGTTCCAAGTATCTCAGCCAAAGAGATTGAAATGACACGTCTAACTTTTTAGGGGGCTTCAGATGTAGCTGAGTGGTTGAGGGCTTACCTAGCATGCACAGGCCCCTGGTTTTGACATGTAGCACCACAAAAAATAATAATAGCAATTTATTTTTAGTAAAACACAACTACAATAAGCAAATTCTGGGTTTGAGAAAATACTATTCCTGGAGTATTAGTACCCAATAGCAGTGATCTTAAGCTGCAAAGAAAACAACATTCAAAGTATTTCTTCCAAAGCATTAAACTTTTATATATGACTCGACACTTTAGTCTTGAGATTCTTCTTTCTGTAACTTAATGATGAAAACATGACAAAATGTACTCGTAAAACAGTGGTCAGGGGTCTGCAGTTCAGCTGCAGTCATCTCTGTTGTTGGTAATGAGCCTGGGTTGGTCATCTCTCCCTGCAGATGAGACATCCACAGAAACTTAGTGACTCCTACAAGTAGGGCCATAAAATGAAATCACAAATTCACCACAAATTAATTCCCAAACTGGTCACCTTGTAATCATGCTGACTCAGGCATCTAAAAATGCTTTTCTTCTCTGTGCTTATGTATAAATAAGACTTCACTCGAAATGAATTCACCACTGAGTCCATAGCATGAACACTTGGGATTTGAGATAGGCTCTTCCTGTCTCAGCCCCAGCAAAGGGTCCCAGGGTCTGGGTGACATTTCATAGGGACCCTCAGCAAGGTGCTGTTTTCCCTCCCTTGCCTTCCTCCCATGGCAGCATTCTTGTTCCTCAACCCTGAGAAGAAGGTGTTTCCCAAGTCCCTGATGGGGAACTGGTTCAAGTGTCTGGAGGGAAAAGTGGCTGCTTGGGTTACACAAAGGGCAGAGGCACCAAACATTCCTGAGCTGAAATAGCTTTTGGGACCCAGCCCGGGAGCTGCAACCTGAAATCTTACCGTGTGCAGCCCTTGCTTTTACCCCATAACTTCATAGATCACTCACTGCAGACCCATAATTAACTTGACTCCCCAACACCAGAATAGTGTTACATGAGGAACAAGGCAAAGACCCGCCCTCCCAGGGAATCTAATCCCCAGTGCAGAGTTAAACATGCCTTTTGAATTCTGACTACCTCTGACAAGGCAGCTGCTTGTATAACTACTGTGCAGGCCTGGGAATGGCCTCGGTTTTGGTATTCCTTCTTGCCCACAGGAGGGCCAGTTCCCCAGCCTGCCCTCAGAGGGACCGTGTGCCTTGATGGGGTGTGGTGAGACCAGAGCAGACCCAGGAGGTGGGGGAGCATTTGTGAGAAGCCTGAAAGCCTCAAGAACCTGGTTCTGCCCTGGGATTTGGAGTACGGGGTTTGGGCCTGGCTTCCAGCCCTAAGGATCATGAAATACAACTTCTGGTTTTCCTCAGTGTTTTCCCACCCCTCCTAATTTCCCCTTGGTGGATTTTTGAAAATTGCTTGTGATGTCTGCTGAAGGTTATGGATATTTCAAGATTTCTTTATGTAAGGATTGCAGAGTGGAGGGAACCAGTTTGTACTCTGCTCCCCTGCTCCAAAATGATTACCCCAACATGATGTCTTGTGTGTTTACAGTCATTTTTCTTCTTCAAAACAACTTTTGTGTCCATAAATCCACTTGAACCTTACATTAATCCTGGGATAATGGTTCTCAGACATTTCGGTCTCCAAATTATGTCCCTTTGATACTTATTTATGACGTCTTGTTTATAAGACGACAGCACTGCTTCTCAACACATTTTGTTGCCTTTACATGCCATTTTATATTCCCACTGAATCACTCACTACATCACCAGCAAGCCTGGCAGAAAGTTCCTGTCTGAATGGTATCTGCTGGCCCTGCCTGTACAGATTATGGACAACAGTGATTTTTCTTTATGCTTTGTAAAATTATGGCAACACTTTCAGTCCAAAGATGATGAAGAAATCAGAAGCACTGTCCTCACCCCATCTCCCCTGTTGTCCTCCTGCTTCTTTCTCACACTGAGGACCAAGCTCTCGGGCCTTTAGAATTGTAGTGTGTTGGACTTTATTCTACTGAGAGTTGTATTTTATTCCAAAGCAAAGAGCCTCAGATCTCCTGTTGTATGGTTGCATTTAGAATTTTCCAGGTAACCCTGCTCCACTGCTGGAGTGTAGACTGGTGCAACCACTGTGGGAATCAGTGTGGAGATTCCTCAAAGAGCTAGGACTGGAAGTCCCATTTGACCCAGCTATTCCCCTGCTGGGGATCTTCCCCAAAGAATTAAAAGAATCATACCATAGCGATATATGTGCACCCATGTTCATAGCTAAGACTTGGAAATGGCCCAAGTGCCCATCAACTGGAAACTGGATAAAGAAGATTTTTTATAAAGTGGAGTACTACTCAGCCATAAAGAATAAGAAACTAGAGACATTTATAGCTAAGTGGATGCACATTGAGGCGATACTCTTAAGTGAAATAAATAGGACACACATGTGTAATACCAAATAGCTTCTCTAGTGTGAAAAACTTAAAGTGTAAATAAAGATCAAAATGTATTATAGAAAATGTGAAATAGGAAGAAAAGGTCCAAAGGGGAAGTGGGAGGAGAAGGGGAAAGGAATAAATATGAGAAAAGGAAAAAATGGAAATAAAGTCTTTATAAATAGATGTGGAGGGGTTGAAGGGAAGGCAGGGGAATGGGGAACAAATAAGAATCAAGATATATCATGTAAAGGTACAAATTACCAATGATGAATGTCATCATACTGTATATCTAAAAATGTACCAATAAACTTAATTTAAAAAAAAAATTGCCAAGGGCAGAGCCACAATTCTGCAGACCCAGATACTTGGGAAGCAGGAAGATGATGAGTTCTAGGCCACCCTATGCAACACAGGGAAACCCTGTCTCAAAACATGCATGTACATTCATACACAAAGAATTAAATGGCAATCAAAAACTTGGTAGCCAGGCGTGATAGCACATGCTCCTTTGGGAGGCTGAGGCCAGCCAGGGCTACATACTGAGTTCAAGGCCATCCTGGACTACATAGCAAGACCTGTCTCAAAAAACAAAACAAAAAAACTTGCTAAGCCTTTTGATTAGAGGTGAGAGAAAAATTGGCTTTTCCTCAGCCACCTGCCTGTGGGGAACAGTGTTCATGTTTTGTGCTCTGTTCTTTTTTGCCAGCAAATAGTTTCTGTAACTCCACTCACTGCATTCCAGAACCTCTAACAGGGAGCCTAGGCCTCAGTGTGAAAGCCCCAAGGAAGATGCATCCAGCAGCGAGCTGCCCTCTCGGATAATCACTGCACCGCAGCCCCAAGAACACTCAGGAAGTTTGTTTTCTTTGGAAGCGTGGTTACACTGTACTGCCAAGGTCAAGTACTGTCCAGGATGAGGCAGAATTTCCTTCTTACACCCTCCTCAGAGCCTTCATAATTTCATGCCTTCAATATTAAATCTTGCTATTGTGGGAGTCCATTTCTGTAAACTTTCAACAATTCTTCTAGCAAAGAGGGAAGTACACCCGTTTTACTGGGGAGGGAGTTAGGGTTGGAGGTCAGTCGAGACCTTAACTAGTCGTTTTCCTTTCGTTTAGTTTAGACAGAACCCAGGGCCTTACACATGCTAGGCTAGAACTCTCTATCACTGAGCTACACCCCAGCCTGCTCTTATTTTGAGACAGGGCCTTGCTAAGTGGCCCAGTCTGGCCTAGAATTTAACAATCTGCCTGCCTCAGCCTCCCAAGTAGCTGGCGTTATAACGTAACCAACTCATTTTCCTTTTTAAGAGAAAATTGGAGGATTTTAAGTTTTTTCCCCCCTGCTTTTATGGCCAGAAGAATACCATTTGTTAATTCTAAACTGTATTCTTGAAAGTACAACAAATTTCAGAGAGCCAGTTTCAAACACATTTAATAAAGGACTATTATGAAGCAGTTATATCCAGCTTTTAAAACGTGCTGTAACCAAGCGTGGTGACGCATGCCTGTAGTCCTAGCACTCAGAAGCTGAGGCAGGAGGATCACTGCAAATTCGAGGCCAGCCTGGGCTACGTAGCAAGTTCAAGTCCAGCCTGATCTACATAGTGAGACTTTGTCTCCAAAACAAAGTGGAAAGAGGAAATCCTTTGCTTTTCGCTCTGTTTTCTTTTGTGTTTGGTGACTAGGCCTCACTTGCAAACTTGAACAACCCAAAGAGCCCTGAGATGGTACTGCGTGGTCTCCCCTCTCCTGTGTGAGCATCTGGCAATTCTGCCTCACAGCTTTAGCAGGGCGGCTCTAGCGCACAGGTCCGCAGTGCTTCAGCCCTTCACACCGCATACCAAGCCCGGGACAACTCACAGGCACTGTCCAGCCTTCTCCAGACGCAGCCAATACTCTGCCCCTCCTCAAAGGATTTTTTTTTTCTTTTGGGACAGGTCTGGCTCTGAAGTTCAGGCTGGCCTTGAACTCTGTGTAGCCCAGGCTGGCCTCCACCGTGAGGTGATCCAATCCTCCTGCCTCAGGCTCCCGAGTGCTGGGATCACAGGCACGTGCCACCACACGCAGCAACCCTGTCACTGGGTTTGGGACAGTTCCTCATGAGTCCCTGTCTTACCCTGCGAGGCGGGTAGGGGGCGCCCATCCATTGTGCTCAGGAAGCTGGGGCTGCACTGCTAAGGGCCGATTCCAGGCTGGGGACGATTAGTTTGCCCAGCTCTGGGGAGACCCTACTCTCCCTGAGACTAATACACTTCCCAGCCAGCGCTGATGCGAAGCAGTGAAAGAGACTGACACTGAAAGCAGGTGGGACCCATAGGAGATAAACAGTTAAACACATTGAGACTGGTTTTTTTTTTTTGGTACCTGGGATCAAACTCCGGTCCTTGTGCCCTTGCCCCTGCAAGGCAGGCGGCAGAACCACTGAGCTAAATCCCCAGCCCCACAGATTGTTTTTAAAGACAGGGTTCTGTAAGCATTTGATGCCAGAAGGAGGAAGATGTGCACGTCACTATTCCTGTCCATTAGAGCTTTGTGTAATATTTCCAGGGCACCTGGAAAAGGAAGTTACGTTCCAAAATGCTCTGGATAAGAACTCAAAGAAATATGCAACGCATTTAATGCTTCCTCTGTTATGCCCGCTGACGAGAGTTTTATTCCTCTGGGTACTTCATTTTAGTCTATGGTATGCGCCTTAGCAATACTGTATTACTTAGGTGGTGAGGGACGGGGCATGGTGGCACACGCCTGTAATCCCAGCACTCTGGGAGGCTGAGGCAGGATGCAGATAGAAGGAAGGGCCAGAGAACACAAGCACTTCACCGAGCTGCTGAGCCCTAGTGCACTGCTACCGGGGCCCAAAGCCCTCTAAGGAGAGCAGGTGGCATTTTATTTGTTTATTGTGCTGGTGCACGAGACCATCTGCTTCCGGACAGGACTCCTCTTTCGACCTTAGCACTAACCCTGCTCATTACATAAATCCTGACTAAAGAACATGTAACAGGGTCAGCAGTATGGGACAGTGTCTCAGCAAATCCCAAACTGTGACCCTCACCATACAATGGTCCCACCTTATCCAGGCGGGATAGGCCCAAGCCCCCTGGGGTGGAGTGAGAGCTCAGATGGCACTGACCCCATCTATGCACTCTTTTCCTAGGTCTACACAGCTATGGTAGAGATGAATTTACCAGTTATCCACATGAGAGATTAACAACAGCAAGCATAAAACAGAACAGTTGTAACAATATACTGTAATAAAAGTTCTTTAAACATGGTCTCCAAATATCTTGCTGTACTTCACCTTTTCACTTAACAGAAGTAGTTACCACTCCTCTTTGACATATCTGAAGTGCTGGCAGTGTCACTCTTGCTTATTGCGGCCACTATTAAGTATAAAATAAGGGTGACACAAACGTAGGTATTGCAGCAGAAGGTTTGATGAGCAGGTTGGCTACTAATCAACTACTGGGCAGGTGTGTTTACAGCATGGACACACTGGACGAAGGATGACTCACTTCCTAGGTGGTGCTAGACAGGATGGAGAACAGAGCCAGACACTCCCAGATCCCATGGACCTCACTGTCTTGGGATGGGGACAGAGACAAGAATGCCACCAAGCACCAGAGAGGGCTGGGTGCAGGGCAGTGACACTTACTTTAACAGCTTGTGGAAAGAATGATCAGGAGCTTCTGTGTAAAAGGGAGGGGATTCCAGGAAGAGGAAGGAGCCTGGGCAGAGGTGTCCAGTGAGCTTGGGGACATGGAGCCTGGGGAAGCTGAGGTGAGAGAGGAGACAGGATCCCAGCAGGAGTGTAAGCTGCGGAGTTGAAAGGCCGCCTGCAGGAGGATTGGCGGTGGGAGAGACAGGAGGTGGCTGAAGTGACAGGAGAAAGCTGTGCAATGTAACCTTTCCGGTGCTTGGGTGGCGTGGCCAGAGGCACCCGTGCAGGCAGAGTTGACACTGGAGGCAGGATGGAAAGCCCTTGGTGACTGGCACATTGTGGACAGGGCACTGGGTGTCCACTTAGCCCCTGGCGGCTCCTCACCGACATAGGGAACACAGGACAGGGTTGGGATGTCACAGAGGCCAGACCATGAGTTACTCTGGACATTCTGAGTCTCAAGGTCCCTGAGGCACATCTGAGTGGTCAGGTTGTATGTGAAGCAGAGGGGACATTCCTGTCTTAGCAGGTGAGATCTTTTGGTAAGAGGCCCAGGCAGGGAAAATGAGAAAGAAGGGAACAGAGAAGAGCCCCTGGGGATGAGCGCAGGAGGGGAACAGACTGAAAAGGAGGCAGGTAGAGAAACGAGAGCCAGGGGTTTGTGGACTGAGTGATGGGGATTGTCGGAGCCACAGGGAGAGGCCAGGTAAGGCCCCTGGGCCTGCTGCACTTGGCAGTGAGGTAAACATGCGTGAGCTGGAGCAGTCTCGTGTTCCCTAACCTCCCGGGGACTCTGGGACACAAAGGAGTTGGCCTGGGAATCTGTCAGGTCTTTACTAGGTTGTGAGCCCCTGTCTCAGGGCAGCTGTGTAGTCAGGAACGGAGCAGAGCAGATCCTGTCATCCGCCCGGGGTCATCAGTGGCGGACACGCAGACTGAGAAACCGCCTGGGTTGTGCAAGCTCCTGGCCTGAGCCGAGGCCCGGTGCCAGCAGAGACCTTGCAAGGCCCAAGGCCAGCAGGATGGGGTGACATTTTCTCTCCTGCCCTTTTACGAGGCTGCTTCTCTCTGCGGAACACGGCTTTCACGTCACCAGTTAGATTACAGGTTTTCAGATTCCTGGGCCACACACCACACCACTGCAGTTGCAGCAATCCGTTTGGAAAGCATTTTATCTGTGTGTGTTTGATGCCAGTCATTGAGACAAAATTCTAAGGTTTTACAGAATGAGGCTGTGCAATGAAAGTTAGCTTGGCTGTCAGGGAAGTATCACGGCTCAGTAGGAAACCAAAACAAACAAACAAAAAAAGAATTGTCACCCAGAGCGACAGGTTGTATACAGACACGTGACCTGCTTGACCTTCACTAGCCCACTGAGCTAAGCTGGCCCGAGTGAGCCTAGGCTTCCTCCCCGCTGCTTGTCTAGGGAGGCCAGCGGGCTCAAGCCTGTGTGGCTTACACCGCCCTAATTTGGGTGCCAAGACCATGCCCCGGGGCTCAGGCCCTGCCCCACTGCCTGGGCACCCTGCCTATCAGAGCTTCTAACATCATCACCTGTTCACAACAGCCACGCCTGGCAAAAGCCAGGAGACAAATCAGCAACTTCCAAAAATATGTCTCCAGGGAGCAGAAACATGAATCGTCTTCTGGAGAAGTCTTCCTTTCTGTTTTTTGCTTTTGTTTGTTTGAGACAGGACCTTGCTAGTACTAGGCTGACCTCGTGTAGCCCAGGAAGTTGTTTCTGTTGTGAAGTTTTGCACGGGGAAGGCATTTGCCGTGAAGGACATATCCTCGTGGATTCCCAGTTGGTAGCATGTGGTGGTCGTCATTATTCTGTACAACCCCCAAGGCAGCTGTCACAAGGAGGGCACCAAGAGTGGGCCCCCCAGCGTGGATGTGGGGAGGTTGGGAGGGTGACCCTGGGATGCCAAGCACAGAGAGACACCAAGTCTGGAGGGTGTGATCTAGCGAGCTTTTCATTCTGCAGCCCCAGGGCCGGAAGCACGGATGTTATGAAAGTTGCATTTGACTTTCAAACCAAAACCCAACATGCAAACAAGCCAGCTTCAGAGTGCACAGCTGTTGAAACCCGAAGGACAACACTCCAAGGGTGAGCACACATCGCCTGCTTAGGGACCAATGAGTGAGCCACACATAGGTGTGACCTGCAGTGGACCCTTGAGTTATAACTGAACTGACATACGAACAACTTGAGTTACGACCAGAATTTAACTGTTAACTTACAAAGTCTTGAGTTAGGACCCAAATGGCAGCTGCTTGTGTTTCCAGATGGTCTCAGATTTAACCCTTAAAGAGTTCTGAAAGGAAGACAACAGCAGCCTCTCCTGTGTGGGGTTAACTGAGAAATCCCGGGCCAGTGTCTCTCTAAGGAGACTTTGAAGGCTGTGTCTCTACACAGAGCCTGAGGCTTCAGTTGAGCAACCTGAGTTACAACCAGCCCTAGGGAAGGAATTGAGTTCGTAAGTCAAGGGTCCACTGTGCCAGGTAGGTAGCAGTTCCAAGAATGCAAAACCTCGCTCATTGTCTGAAAGGGGCTCAGCAGCCCTGGTACAGCTGGTAATTGTGTTTTCTTGGTGCATTTGCACATAACTAACATAACCAGAAGCTTCAGCCCTGCCCTTGGCATGCGCGCATGCACACACACACACACACACACACGCACACGCACACACACAAAGCAGCCCTCTGGGTTGGTGCTCTCCCTCTGGCAGGAAATGTCACACAGAGACTTCTTTCTTTTCTCTTTTTGTTGAGACAGAGTCACATTAAGTAGCCCAGGCTGGCCTTGAACTGGTGGTGATCTTCCTGCCTCAGCCTCCTGAGTGCTGGGATTACACAGGTACACCAAGACTTCTTGCCTATTACTAAAGCCAGCGGTGTTCCGTTGCCAAATATTTTGACTTCTCATCAATAACCTGGACCCAGAAGGAACTCAGTAACAATTCTGGGTTGCAACAGAGCTCTAAGAAATAGACTGGAATTGATTCATAACCAGAAAATGCTGCTCCATTATTGCTGCCAGATAGAAGTCAAGTGATTAAGAGTGGGCGGGCGCTGGGCAGGACCCCAGGTGAGTCGTGGGTGATAGGCAAGTTATCACCTCTGTTCTGTCTTTTGTAAAACCCAATGATAAATAGTAGCCACCATGAAGTTGGTGCTGAGGATCACATTAGTCATATAGGTAAGCAAGACCTTAACATCCAGTATTACTGTTACTCATTCGAGATTAGCTCCCAGCCCACCCAAAGCAGGGGCCCTTCCCCAAAGACTCGAGCTGCCTCTCCTCTCTTTGCCCCTGGCTTCCTGCTGTCTTCACAACTAGCATTTGCTGACATGCAGCGCTGTTATCGCTATGTTCTGTGCATTTCATTGCTGCAACCCCCTCAGACTGAGATGTGAAGACTTGTGCAGAGAATGTGCGTGGCAGTTTTACACAGAAGGGCCAGGAGCTGGACACAGCAACCCGATGTCCAATCAAGGGGGCACGATATGTCCGTGCCGCGGGACACAACTCAGCAAGAAAGAGGAATGAGCTGACGGAATAGCAGCTGCCTGGGTGGCTCTCTGGAGGATGAGCTGAGGGAAGAGAGCCAATCCCGAGGGGCTGCATTCTGTATGAATCCATGCCTGTGGTCAGAACCTGAGTCCTGGTACTGCACCATGGCTTCGTGCAGTGCCACCATGGGGGAACCGGGAAGGTAGAACAGGGGCCATTCTGTGTAATTTCTTCTAAACATCTGTGAATTTACAATGACCTCCGAATCGAACACACACTTAAAACTGTCCCAGATAGAGTAGCCTGGGCTGCCCATGGATGCGAAAAATACACCAAGCCTCTTGTAGGAGGATTTTAGTTTTTTAGTTTAGCAATTATGTTTTAACACTCTTGTTTATACTGGTGCTTATTCCTCAGAGCATAGTAATGGCAATGTTTAGTCATGTTAAATGATGTTATTGTCTAATACACTCAAGACTCATAGTTTTTTAAGTTGGAGGACTGATTTAGAGATGATCTTTTCTACTTCTTTCATTTCAGATCTCAAAAGTCAGAAGTGACTCAAAGTCACACAGCTCATCAGTGGCATGAACAAGGGCCAGGTCTAGGGAGGGGTCTTCAGATCCTGTCCTGTGCCTCCTGCACACTTGATATTTATATTTTATAAAAGCAGCAAAGCTAGGTGTGGTGGCGCATGCCTGCAATCCCAGCACTCAAGAGGCTGAGGCAGGAGGATCGCAGTGAATTCACCAGCCTGGGCTACACAGTGAGTTCAAGGACAGCCTCAACTGCATAGTGAGACCTTGTCTCAAAAACAACAACAAGAGCAGCTCAATTCCACGTGCCTGGAGAAGCATCCTGAGTTACTGCCATCCCTGCACTTGCCACTGAGATGACTCCCTGCCACCCTCAGTGGCTGGGTAGCATAGGCCCCTGAGGTGAACATCCGACCCAGAGAAACCAACCAAGCAGGCTGGGGGGTCTCCCCAAGAAGCACGCGGGGAACCCCAGTGGGAAGGGAGAAGCCAATGCTTGAAGAACTGGGAAACAGAAAACAAAGAAAGAGCAGAAGAAGCTGAGAGCAGAGCTCGGTTGAGAACCAGCTCTCCATGCCCAGTCTGGGACTTCACTGATGGGGCACCCCAGAAATGGACACCCCCCCATGACTTACTCTACCGCTTCCAGGGAAGCCGGATAGAGACAGAAATGGGATCTGCAATTTCCAGAACATCAATTACTACCTGGGGACCCTGGGCAGGGCCTCTCCTTCCTGTGCTATGGCCTCAGTTTACCCATTTGTACAATGAGGGGCTACTAGCTGGAGAAGCCATTTCGGCTTTTCTCCTCACCCCGGTGTGGAGATGTAAACACACGACAACACAACACACCTACAAGATGAGAGCCATACAGACTGCAGCGGGAGCTGGCTGACCAATGGCCGGTGCGGAGGCAAACCCAAATTGTGCCCCCAGCTTATTATATCAGCCCCTGCTTCCCCGTGAGGGGTGGTGGAGATGCTGGCTGCAGAAAAGGTATGGAGAAAAAGCTGTGAGAACTTCGCTCTTTGGGAGACATTTTGTACATTGCACAAACAGCCCCTGCTGTCAAGTGAGTCAGAATTTCCGAAAGGCATAATTTTAGTGCCCTTCTTGCGGTTCCCTCTTCAGGCCGCTTCTGCAGGGGAGGCCTGGGCGGGGTTTCCTGTCTCATTCCAGAGATGACAGAGGGGTTCTCCCCCGGGCCTTGCCAGAGCTTTCTTTCCAGGCAGCCGTTACTGCGAAGAGGAATCCAAGTGTTTGCAGCCCTTTCCAGCTCAGAAATGGCTTACTTACCCTTTTGCCTTCTGCATGGTCTACTATATTTTATTTTATTTTTTTGTACTGGGCTGGGATCGAACTCAGGACCTTGCACTTTCCAGGCAGGTGGTGGCACCACTGAGCTAAATTCCCAGCCCTGCATGGTCTACTTTAAAGTGGAAAAAGACCACCACTGAACAAGAAAGTAAGGTCCCAGATGGGGAGCAGCTCAATGGTAGAGCGCATGCTTAGATGCACAAGGCCCTAGGTTCCGTTCCCAGCACCACAATAATTAATAATAATCGTAAAGTCCTATTTTTGTGCTTTGTTTATATTTTCAGTACTAGGGATTGAACCCAGGGCCTTCATACTAAGTACAAATAAAATAATAATAATAATAATAATAATAATAACTAGACATATCTGCTACTATTTGCAGTTTGTATATGTTTTATCACATTTCTCCCTGTGAAATTGTCATTGCTAACCCTGATAACAGATGGAAAGCCCCATGTCCCTGGAGGAGGTTCCATGGCTTGCAAGGTTCACCTCTGTTAGATAACAACAGGGAAAGTGGGGCCTGGAGTCCGAGTCTCCTCCTGGAGAGGAGATCCACAGCTCCCAGCTCTGAGCAGCAGGAGGGCCCTTTCAACTCAGCACAGCTGGCCACCGGGTCTGTGCCTCCTCCTTCTCCTTATTCCCAGAGATGAGCGCACAGTAGGTCTCAGATGTTTGAGGAAAGGTCCACAGTACTCAGACCTGGCCCAGAACCACCACGCTAGAGCTGGCTGAGGTGGGTGTTTACAAGGCCAGGCACAAAAACCGGTAGGAGGTGGGTTTCTATTATTAGATTCTTTCAACAGAGGAGGAAACTGGAGGGTGAGTAACCAGCCACAAAGTTGCAAATTGGGACAATTTGTTGCCATAGCCTGAGTACTTAACTCCAGGCTGGAGCTAACTCTTCCTAGAGGACAGGGATTTTCTAGGTGGCTGGCTGCCCCACCCCCAGCAGGCTTGGCAGGGCTGGCTCTGCCCTGTACAAATCACCTGGCCTCTTTGTGCCTCAGTTTCCCTCTAAGACAAAAGCAAACTTTTCCTAAACAGGTGTGGTGGTGCATAACAGCACGCTGGAAAGCTGAGGCAAGACAGAATTGCACACTTCAAAGCAACTTAGCTAGACTCTGTCTCAAACTAAAAAAAAGCCAGCAATGTAGTTCAGTGCAAAGACCCTGGGCTCAAACCCCAGTACTATCAATCATAATAACGAATACATATTAAATACATAAAAATTAAAAAACCTTTTTCTACCTGGATGATCTTTGCAGAAATTTAACAAGGAGACACACAAAAGCAACCTGAAAGGCGAAAAGTATCATCCAAATGCAAGGATAATGACTGTTCACCACTGCCTGTACCTTCAACGTGGCTGAGTTAACCTCAGGGCCTGTGGCAACACCTCTGGAGGAGGATGAGGTATTCAATGGAACACCTGGAACCAGTCAGGGGAGGAACAGCCGAGGAGGCCCGTTGTAGGGCCTTTGTAGGGTTGACCCTCACAATTACGATTTAATAAAAGATGAAAGTTGGGGGTGTTGTTGACACCAGCGTTTTAACTCCATGTTAATCCTGGGCTTTGCCTTGCACCACGGAAACACACACACACAAACACACACTCCATCACTACCTGCTCCTGTTTGACAATTCAGTGACCGACTTTCACACTGATTTCTTCTGCCAGCCCTGCTAAGAAACAAGAGGAAAACAGCCTCTTGGAAGTGTTGGATCTGGGCCAGTGAACTCCCCAGACTCCTCCCCGCCCCTACACGGGGGGGGGGGGGGGGAGCAGCAGCAGCAGCAGATCCTTCTAGTTTTGCAAGTTGCATCCCCTCATTAGCAGTTCTTGTCCCAGCTGTGAAGGCAAGCCAGGATGTAATTACCTGGGAAAAAATAAAGATAAGGGCTGCCAAGGGGCTGTTCCAAGTGCAGCTGGATGCAGTTGGATGCCAGAAAGCACCCACTGCCTGGCCTTGGGCAGAGGACAAGGGCAGAGACCAGGGACACCACCTCCCAGCCACCGAACCCTGGACAGTGGGAGTTTGGCAGGAGGTGTGTGGAGGAAGCCCCGGACCAAAGGCAACTGCTAGTGTGAGGCACAGAGATAAGATTCGGAGGCTCCCAAGCAAAGTCGGGGCTGGAACCCGGGGCAGGGATTGGCAGAGCAGTGGGAGGAGGTGGTGAGCAGGGCCTGGGAACCAACTGGGGAGAGGCCACGGGGGAGCCCGCACATTCTTTTGTTTTTGTTTTACTTGCTGCCTGGTCCACACTGACCTTAAACTCACTATGTAGCCCTGGCTGGCCTTGAACTCACAGTGATCCTCCTGCCTCAGCCTCCCTTAATGCTGGCATCACAAGCGTGCACCGCCAGGCCCGGCGGAAGCCCGCACATTCTTGGGCCTTGAGTTTGTGGGAGTTTCCCATTCCGTGGGATTCGTGTTCCTCGTGGCCTGGGATTGTGCTGGGAAGGGGGCGAACAGGGTGCCTTCCCTCACCGAGGTGCCAGAGGGGTGACCCTTTCTTCTTGGACTTCCTGTGTCCGGAGGGGCGCCCCTGCCTGTGCCCCAGCTGGGCTCGGCTCAGAAGGACCAGACCTGCTGTCTCCTGGCGAATGGTCGCCCCGAGCCACCCCGGAATGAGGCCAGGCCGAGGCAGGCTGGGGACGTACCTGTAGGCCGGCGTGGACAGCGCTCCCCGGGTCCCCAGGCGCGCAGGGCGCCGCAGAGCGCGCATCCCCTGGCCGGGCTGCGGTCCCCTTGGGGCGGGATCGCGGTGTCCCCGCCCCGCCCGCCCCGCCCCAGCCGCCCGGGACGCGAGCGGGAGGAGGCTCAGCCGGCGCCGGCGCGCGCTCCGCAGCTCTGGCCGGTGAGTGGCACAGGCCGGGCCGGGCGGCGGGATCCGGGGTCGGGGCCACGGGGGAGGTCGACTTGTCCCCGGGGATCGCGTCTCCCAAAGTCAAGGGCCGGGCAAGGCGCAGCGCGGGGGCGGGGGCCGGCGTGACAGCTGCGGGCGCGGTGTCTTAGCTCAAACCCAGCCGTTCCGCGGCTGCGAACTCGGAATTCGGCGCCTCTGCGCTCGTCCCGGGACGTTCGTTCCCGGCGGGCGGCGCGTCCTGGCTCCGCCGCCTCCCCCGGGGCAGCGGACCTGTCCCCGCGCGTGTCCCCGGCTTGGCAGACCCAGGCTGAGGCGCTCTCTCCTGGCGACCGTGAGCTGGCGGTGGTGCCCGAAGCGGAGCGCGGGGAGGCGGGCAGAGTCCCGTCCCAGCGCGGTGTCACGGTGCAGCCTCCCGCGGCTCAGCCTCTCTGGGCTCATTCCCGCCTCCCTGAAGGTGAGAGGCCAGAGGTCGCCCTGGGGACCTGGGGAAGCTCGGATGGGGGCCGACTTCCCTGGGAGCCATCAGATCAGACCCCGTGGTGTCGCCCTTTGGTCAGCCTAGGATCAGGGTCCCACACCACCCAGTTCGAAACGGGGCCACCAGCCTGGGCGGCCGATAGCGAGCATTATTATCACATCACTCTGGCTCTGAAGCTCCTACTCCCGGCAGCCCTTGGACCCGTTCCCCGGGCTCTGGGCGCCCTCTTTCATCTCCTCTCCGGTTGCCAAAGCTGTGTGGAGGGGCCTCCCATCCTGCATGAGTGACCCCGGGTGGGGGAAAGCGATTGTCCTCCCAGAAAGGGGAGCATAGCACAAAGTCGCTGCCCTTCGGAGTTGGCTGGGAGGCCCTTCGACAACCAAGAGGAGAGGAAATCGGCCCTGAGAGGGCGAGTGATTTGCTCAGGGCTGCACCGCCAGGAAGAGAAGTGGAGCTGGTCCCCTCGGAGGGCTTGGCCTTGCCTCCTGCACATTCAGGCAGCCAGCAGCGCACAGGGTCTGGACCGAGGGGGTAGGCTGTGTGTGTGTGTGTGTGTGTGTGTGTGTGTGTGTGTCTGCATGCGCCCACGGGCATTTTGCTCCGTTTCATGCTAACTGTGCCCCAGTGGGACACTCCAGCACGTGGGGCTGCACATTCCTCGGGCAGGACAGCTCCTGGGCCGCCGATAGCCGCAGCTGTGCCAAGCCTGCTGCCCGGGCGTGTTTTCAGCCCCAGAGGCCCCTCTGGGGGAGGCTGTGCAGGGAGTGGGCCCAGAAGCCTGCTTGCTGTTCTCCTCACTTGCCTGAGTAACCTGATCTGATCATTTCAGTTGTGTTAGTCAACAGTGTGGCCACTTGCGTCCGGAACTTATATGAACAAGACACCAAGAATCTCCTTTCCCACCCGTCCTTGCGGGAGACTGCTCTGACTCGTCCTGCTTTTTGCTTGATATATTCATCCCCAAACAACGCGGCGCCCGTGGGGATGGTTACTCCTGTTTTCGTGTGGGGAAGCAGGTGCACAGAAGTACAGTGCTTTGTCCAGGGTCGCACGGCAGGTGACCAAGCCCAGTTTCACAGGAGGGGTCCTGACAAGATGGGATATTTTTGCTCTCCATGAGCTGTGTGCGCTCTGGACTTGGTTCCTGCTCTGTAGAGGCTGATGCTCCAGGCAGGCAGCCCCACCCCGCCCCGCCTGGCCTGGGTGGCTGTGGGAAAACGCACTCTTGGAAGACAGGTGGACAGTGTCCTCTGGTTACCTCCCGGGAACCTGCTGTCTGTGGCATGTGGGCGGGGCGCCCTGGGGCTGGGGACTCTGTCCTGTCCTATATCCTAGTGCTTCCTTTCCTGGCCACCTTCTCTGCTCACATTAAAGTTGCAAAGGTGCCTGTACGGCTAGCTGGTGGCTGATGCCCAGGACTGCTGGCTTCAGCTGGTGGTTCTCCTAACGCACAGCCCTGTTTCCTGGTGTGAGTGCTCAGCTGGGCAGTGTGGACCAGTGGGGACCTGTCCAGGCCCAGCCACAGCACTGGGCATCTGTTTCCTCTTTGCCTGACAGGGCTGGGGATCCCTTCCTGAAGGGCAGAGCTCCTGAGAGGACCCAGTGAGAGAGGAGCTTACACAGGCAAGGTGGCTTTCAGACACTCGGAAACAAGCCCTTCACACAGTGCTGGAGAGGGGGGTGTGAGCTCACAAAGCCCAGATTGAGTAGCCTTTCTCCACAATGCTTGGGCCCAGAAGTGTTCCAAAGTTTTGGATTTTTTCAGGTTTGGGAATATATGCATCACTTGATACTTGGGAATGGGAACCATATATGGTTCATATACGTCTTATACTCACAGCCTGCAGGTGATTTTATACAATATCTTTATCGCACCTGCATTTTTACTCCAATGGGTCACATGAGGTCAGGTGTGGAATTTTTTTCACTTGTGGCATTTGGTCGGACAGAGTTCATGAAGACTGGGATTTTGGAGCATTTCAGGTTTTCAGATTGGGGATGCTCAACCTGTATTTAGAAGTGGCAGCTGCAGTGGAGGACCAGCTACAGTCGAGATGGTCTTGTCAGAGCTTTTAAGTTTACATATGGGGAAACTGAGTCTCCAAAGCACAAATGACTGGCCCAGGTCTTGCTGGTGCCTTGGGGTCTAGAGGGTGCCCCCCCCACCCCGCATTGGCTCGGTGGTGAGAAGGGCAGGCTGGCTTTCAGGGTTGGCCCACATGGTCATGCCATGCCCTGAGCCACTGGACTCTAATTAAACAGTTTCATTTGGGATCTGACAATGCCTGAGCCCCTTCCATGTGGTATGTGCTGGAATACTACAGCTGACTCACTGGGGCAGCCTCTTTCTTTCATGATGGGAGGGACCGACTTTGATCTTCACCTGCCCTTTAAAATGGAAGGTTGAAATTAATTTTGCGAGTTCCTTGAAATGCAATGTTTTCTCCTGTTGGAGCGTAGTGAAAGGTGTTTGGAGACCTCAGTCTGGCCCCTCCTATCTGCCCACCCACCCCAGGAGGGACCAGATTACTTGGACAGGTGACTTCCTGTTTATCTTCCTTGTTGTGAGGATTAAATCTTGAGGAGTCCTCAGCCTGCCCAGCTTTCTGCAGCTGGGGCTGCCTCTGGGCCCCATGGATCCCCAAACTCATCCTGACTTTTCTCAGCTCTGCCTGTGTGCAGTGCTCACCTCTGCCTATTATCTCCCCCACCCCCATGTCTGGCTGGACAGCCCCTCCTCCCAAAAGCCAGAGATAGGAGTGAAGGTTTCTGTCTTCCTGTTCTTGGTGCACTTTACCATTGATATTTAACAAATACTTTTTTTAAACATATGATTCCCGGCTAGCTTGTGACTTCCTGTTCATCCTCGCATCCCTGCTCCCAGCCCGGAGAGAGGTGGTGATTATTATTATTATTATTATTATTACTGTTATTATTATTAAATGACTTTATACCTTAAACTACAACCTGACGAACTTTAGGGAGGTGATGCTCACAATAGCATGGAATGAAATCGTTTAGAAGACCCTAACATTCCCAGGACACAGAAGGAATAAGAGAGACCCAGAGGCAAGGTACCTGTCACCCCCACCGCCCTTCCTGGCCCTCGTCAGGGGCTGGTTCTCTTGGACAAATCCCTGGTTTCCTGGGGCTGGCCCTGGTGTCTTGAAAACGCGGTGATGTCCCTGGGACTCACATCTGAATTTCATTCTGTCACCTAAAGCCCCTGGCCTTTCTTCTTCCTAGAAAGCCCCTCCCCCAGGCCTTCCTGTGGCTGCTCCCTTGCTCCCTTTCTGCAGCCTGGGAGGGATCTTCCTACCCACACAATAGCACCTGTCCCACCTAACCCCCTGCTTTATTGTCTCCCTAGCACTTATCACTCTCTGAAAAAAACAATTTTTTTTTTTTGGGAGACAGGATCTCACTGTATAGTTCAAGCTGGCCTTGAACTCACTACGTAGCTGGGGCTGGCCTCGAACTCGGAGCGATCCTCCTGCCTTAGCCTCCCAAGTGCTGGGATTACAGGCATGTGCCACCATGCTCAGCCACTCTCTGAAATTTATTTATTTACTTATTTGCAGTGGATCGGCTACCTCCTCTGCTAGGACGCAAACACTGTGAGGGCTGAGGTTTTGGTCTGTCCCCAGAGCCCAGCCAGCATAGCTGCTCAGACATATTTATCTCAATATTCAGGGAAGTTGGTTCCAGGGCCCTCTGGGGAGGCCAGATCCGGGATGCCCAAATCCCATATGTAAAATGTGTCTTTATATGATCTACACACATCCTTCCAGTTGTTACCATCTCTGAATTATTTATACTACCTAATATGGTGGAAGTGCTCGGTAAATAGTTGTTATACTATATATTTTTTAAATAAGTCTGTACATATTCAGTAAGATGCATTGTTTTTCCCCAAAATAGTTTTTCTCTGTATCTGGTTGAATCCACAGCTGTAGAACCCGCTGTAGACATGGAGGCTGAGTGTATTTGTGTAATGAATGAATAAACAAAAGAATGAATACAGCAATGGGCTGACTGGGTGCCTCTCAGATCCCTCACACAGTGCATCGCTACAGCTAGCATCTTTCTGGCACCTACCGAATGCCAGCATTGCTCTGTTGGTGGATTTCAGATTCCACTTTGCTCAGAAATCACTTTAGAAAATGAAGTGTTCCAAAGTTCTGTCTTGTGGCTTCTCTCACCTCTGATTCCGTCTGAATAAAATCACTCAGATGCCAAGCCGTTGCTCTCACACTGCCAGGCCATTCCTCAAAGGAAATCCTTCCCGTGTGAGCTGTGTCATATGATCCAGGAATGCCAACACTTTTCCCAAGCCAGGGCCCAGCCTGGAGCACGTGCCTGCCTCCCTGCCCACACCCTTCTCTCCTGGGGACTCCATGTGTGGCACATTCACTAGCTGTGGAGCCTGGGTGACCACAGGCTGGTGGCTGCAGTAGCACGTGAGCCGTGCTGGGGTTGCCAGGTTACGCTGCTGTCATTTAGGCTGCGCTGA